TAAAGAAGTCATAATAAAAATGCCACACTATATTATGATTTATTTGAAAGTAATTTTAAATATAATTCATCCATACAATATACATATTATAAGTTTAAAATATTTGAAATTAAATTTTTTTTTTCAATTTTTCAAACTTAGCCATTATATAAATTATAGTAGAGAATAAATCTGAAAAGTAACAATTTAATCTTGTCATTGTAGTAATTAAATTATTATTATTTATGATAATTGTGATAAACTTAATTCAAAATTTATACATAACATAAATAAAAAAAAACTACTCAACAATTTCTATTTAAGGTGTTGTAACATTTAAAAAAAAATAACTAGAAATTTTCCTTATTCAGTGCAACCAACTGGATCACACATTTTATTTTTTCTATTGTATTAAAAATATATTTTGTAAAATGCTTAAATAACCCAATATTCATTTGTGTCGAAATAATGACTTATTACAACTTAATGCTAATACTAAAATACACCGGGTTGACAGATACAAATCGATTTAAAATTTGAAAATAACATTCAAATACTGTTTATAAATCTGAGAAATAAATTATTAAACTCATGCAGAATTTACTTTTAAGTAATTTGTGTATATGTATATACAGATACACAAATTATATATAATAATACATGAATACACATTATAAATTATGTACGTATACAATAAGTAAACATATTGTGTATGTACTGTGCATATATGTTTTGTATACATACCTAATTTATAATGTGTATACATATATTATACATATACACAAATTACTTAAGAGTAACTCCTACCAGAATCTTTTGTACTTAAATTCTGCAAGAGTTTACACACACACACATTTTATAAATGTACATACCCAAAATATAAGTGTACACATGTACACAAATTATTTCTGCCAGAAAGATTCTTTGCCATAAATTCTTTAAATCAAGCTGGAAAAATGCATTAAATTGCTTTGGAAAATGTACAAATGTACATAAAACACCTGCTATTTAATAATATATGACAAGGTAAAATTGCAATTATGAAATTGAGTAATTTTCATACTAATTATTCTTAATTGTGATAATTAACAAATTAAATGTCAAGTTCCAGTTAATTAAAAATACCTGAAATGCATGAATATAATTAAATGTTTTTATTATTATTATTTTTTTTTTTTCTACAAGTTTTATATTTAGGGTTAACTTACCTTATAAACAGGAATCAACCTTGAAAGTTTATTTAGTTCTTGTCAACTAATAACGTTAAACATATCTTTATAGGGAAAAAAACCACGTTTGTTTTTAATACATCTTACCGCCAAAATAACTAATTTAAGACTAAAGATATAAAATAAACCATAATATTTATTACATAAATAATCCTCCCTTCCCCAACACTACAGCTAACTAACTGAAAAGGCGGCGGAATCAAAACGGAAAATATTATTTTAATATATAATATATTATGTAATTTTTAATATTTGTAAAAAAAATTTACGATTTTCTAAATTTAATTTACATTATTTATAAATTTATACATTTTTATTTCGTTTTTTTTTGTAATATATCACAGTTTCGCTATAGCAATTGTGAAAATTGGATTGGCAAGAGTCTAAGCATTAATTCGAAATTATGCCGCTACTGCGAACAGCGCCATTCGCCGCAAATGGATTTGGATTGATGCCGTTGATGGCCGGATGGCTGAGCGATGCGTTTGTATCAATTTTCTATGAGATTTGACCGATTTTACGAATTTATTTGATAAAAATTGTGATAGCCAATTGCCGATAATCTGGTCTTATTTGAAAAAATCGGGGAGAAATTTTAACTGTTTAAGTATGAAAGGTAACTCAATGAAGAACTGAAGAATAAGAATTTATGTCTTTCGAGCTAAATACTGAATGAAAACGTTGGGTTTTATAAATGGCTTATGTTCTGTTTTCAATAAATAAATAAAATTTAATATCCGCCGTTTAATATCCTCGTATCCGCCGTTGCCTGTCATGTGACAATGTACTTCTATTTCTGAGTTGTGGACAACAAAAGATTAAAAACAGCTATAGATTTCGAAAACACTAAGTCTGTATAGAATTTTATCGTCTAGAATAAATGGCCAGAAACAACTTATCCTTTACTCTCAAAGTTGGATAAAAGACTGTAATAAAGCGTTTTAATGCAGTGGAGTACAGTAAAACTCCAATTATATAATTGTCCTCCGACCTTGTTAAAAAAAACACGCATTTATACATATATGCATGAGAAGTATTTTTTAATGTAGACAATACTATTTATTTGTAGTTAAATTTTCAGTGTTTGTTTACACAATTATGTACACTAAAATACATAGTATGGTGTTTAGATAAAGAGAAAATTAACTATTTTAAGCAAAAATCTAATTATCCGGATAATGAGCAAATCCAAACGGCCCGAAATCCCAATTAGGATAATGGAGTTTCTGCATTGTTTCGTTTGTTCTGCCAATTTTCACACGTTTTCATTATTATTATAAACTTCCATATATCTGGTTAATTAAGCTTATTTATCTATTTCAGCTTAAGATATTTGGTTGTTTATTCCTCTTCCTCTACTGAATGTTTCAATGCCGTAACACTTAAATATAACCGGCTTATTTATTAATGGAAAACTAAATAATCCTTTGCAATCAACAAAAAAATTATTATGACCTCAGCAAATTTTGTAATCCTATACGAATTAGAAGTTTTTGATTGGGCCGTTTTTCTGGTCCCCTTTTATATAAGTAGTACCGAAAAACTTCAGTTGTATTTGAATATTTGTAATAATTAGTACAAATCTTGCTAGAATCCCAACTTCTCCTGAGACCTTTATGTAAATGTCTGGCAAAAGTTGACCAACAGCTGTTCTCAAGATCAAACAATTTTAAACACTGTAGACTGCAGGTGTCTCGTTGAAGTTTGTGTAAGATGAAAGAAAAATACAAGTATCCCTGAATCCATATTTAATAACTAAAAGCATTTATTTTAAATCATTTTTTAATTTTTAGTAGTTTTACTATAAAAGCGCGTTTTGGGGAAATTTTTTCGCCGCAAAGTTCTAATTTTTTTCTAATATCGGATTTGGTTTTACTTCCACATAAATATTTATTATCAAAAAATTTTTTAAAAAATGTTTTTTTGAGCGAAATTTGAAAAAACGAGCGTTAAGGAGTTTTAAATGTATTAAATGTTACTCTATTTACAAGAAACAAAAATAAGTTTTAATTTATTTAAAAATTAAAAATTATCGAAAAAACCCAGATAATGAGATATTTTTGTGAAAAAAAACCTATCAACCCACATTACAATAAAAAAACTCAAAATCTCATTAGTGTGGGGTGAGAGCCCTGCCCCACACTATATCGATGACGGCGCGAAATTTCAAGACACTGGACAAGCACTTTCTTTGTTTAGTTCATTTCCCATTGGATGAAATCAGCCAAACTAAAAAAACCATCAATAAATTAAGGGATTGCCTACGACTACAACCTATTCAACTATGTTCAAGAACAACTACTGCCAACAACTTCCAAGAATATACTATGTCTTTTCGCCACTAGACGGCGCAACCGTTAAGGCCAAGGCTGAGTCGCTTAGAACCTCAAGTCTCACCAGCTCAATATCAACCAACCTATATAATTTCAGGAGGAAATTTGAAATATTTATGAATGAAGCGAAATATTTTTAAAATAATTCATAGGAGAAAGATATTTCCAGTGGGATATTGTACAGAGCTTGAAGATTTGAGAATTGCATTTATAAATAAATAATTTCTAGTTTTCACCAGTGTTATTCATTGAAGTCGGAAAAACAGGTGCCGAAAGACTACCAGCCAAAAGCAGAAATTTCTGTTGCACTTCATAACAGGTGCAGGTCTTGGATCTGACTCAAACCTCAGAGTGATGCAGGGCCTTGGCAGCACAGCAGCTTTTGTTTTCTGGTAATAATTAGAAAAAAAAATTTTAAAGTTGTGCTTCTGATATTTTTTACAAAGTATATTAATTATGTTCTGTCTGTGAAATCAAACATTGTTTAAACTTATAATTTCTTTATGTTTATTTTCATTTTTACTATTTTAGTCTGTGTTGAAGAATCCTTGTAAAAATCTTATTTGTGTGGCTTAATAAAGTGATAAATCTGTAGTTATCTTTTATTAAGACTTTTTGATTGTTAGTACGAATTGGGGAACATTGTATAAACGAATCATATAAAACTAAAATATGCATAACAACTTAGTATATAGCTTATTTTTAGCAGATATTATTTCATTACCGACTTTTCAATATTTACTTTTGTATTATAGATATTTCTTTGGTATTTATATCGTGAGAAAGAATTAGAAAATATTTTGTTTTAATCTAGTTTCCCTATTATTTTAACAATGAATAAATAGGTCTGTACTGTTATATTTATAGTCTATGTAAAATCAACAATCAATGTCACAATTGTTGTTAATTAAACACTTCAATATCTTCAATGTTGTTAATTAAAACAATGATACACTGCTATTATTAAAAGCCCACCAGTGGTGTGTTATCCTATGTACAAATAGGGAAACAGCCTGGAGCTCCAAACCAATCTTTTATAAACTCATTACTGTACTAAGAATATCAAAATTTAAATTTGGGGCATATCTGGAAATCCTAGATTGCTGGCGTGGCACAGGCACAGTGCAGAGACCGTGTTAGAAAATGAACGAGGTTACTGGGGTAATTCCCACGTGAAGAAACTCAGAAAAAGTCTACCTGCCCAACCCAGATAGTCAGCCTTGAATCACAACCAACTATAAGTTCGGTGATTTTATCCACTCGGGCACACTGCATGAAACAGCTAACCAATGCCATTAGACAAAAAGCAGTAAACTTTTCAGTTATAACAGGAATTTCATTGTTAAAGAGCAAATAATAGAGCCGGATATTTAGAAATGAAATATTGTTTCTTGCGTTTATATTCTTAAAATTGATTATATCAAGTTTGATATTTTAGAAGTAAATTTTAATGCATTTTAATTTTTCAAATACAGTACAAAGTTTTGACATTAAATTTGATATCAATTTATTACAAAATTAGTTGTGATACAATAGGTAATTTCTGATTAATCAGAAATTTATTGCTATTATAAGAAACATACCTCACAAATTTATTTTATATTTCACATCCATCATATGAAATTTCAATTTATAAAAAAATATAACAATTACAATTTGTGTATTAATATAATAATTCCTTTTGATAAAATATCAAGAGCATTAATTACTAAGGCATTTTGTCTAAAATTTAATCTTTTAATAATTAAATTAACATAACAAGAGAAACTTAAAAAAGCACAAATATACTTTAAAATTTTTATATATGATGCTTATAAAAATGATAAGCAATAAGTTATAAAATGTTAAAATGTTTTTTATCTTTTTGCCATGCTTCAATCAAAATTTCTTCTAACTGATCATCTTTGAAACGATCGATCCATGACTGAATTAAACCAATAGGAGTGGCTTCATAACTCTTCAGAACAACTGTATCATCTATACATATAAAATTTAACATAAATACAGAAATGATTAATATTTATATACAGTACAAATTAGCAATAAATTTTTAAAGATAATTATTTACTCTATTAAGAATCTTATTAAATTTCCTATTAATAAAGTTATAAACAATAAAAATAATGATTTGATGGCTAGATAGTCAATATAGTTACGGTGTCAACCTACTACTATGAAGAACTGGGATGAGCAACTCCAGGAATTTTTCATGGATGGTCTGTTCTGGCTGTGTTCAGACCTGTCCATTATCACCTCGTCACTCTTATTGCGGCCTAAACAAATCCTCAATTTTTTAAAAACTCTTTCTGACTTGTGGACAGTAAGAGGCCATTTTAACAAGCTTATTATAGATTTGATCAGACCCACAATGGGACAGTCAGGTAGTGAGGGTCAAGGCCTGACATATCCAGATGGACCACCAGATGAAGAATTCCTGGAAAGATGCTCATCTGAATTTGATTCTGGTCCTTAGAACAAGAGTAAGATTCTAAGTAATATATACAAGCCCTGTTCCCATTCCAGGTTAATCTTTTCTTCCAGAATTTTAAAATTGAAAATTAATTTATCATAATTAATTTTATCATAAGACAGCTTACTTAATCCTCTCCTATCATTCTGTAATTCCTTAAGTTAAAATATTTATCAAAAACATCTATATGTATATCACATTTCCATTTTTAAAAGTTCACTGAAAAATCATTCCTTAATCATACAAAAGTCATTCTAATATATAGATCCTGTAAAAAAATAAAATATTTCTACAGTATTAAAAATACAGTTGAACCTGTCTATCTCAATAGCATGCAAACAATAAAAAAATTTGAGATAGGTTTTAAGATATAGAGGTTCTACACAGTAAACAGTAATACATTGAAGGTATAGTATTGATATTTTATTAATATCGTTGGAAGTACAGTAAATACCTGTATTAGGTATAAATAAAACATTTTTGACATACCTAAACAGAAATAGTTTGTCAATAGTTTCTGATGCCTGACTTCCTTCAGCCAATTAGATGCAAGCCAAACTCATAGCCAATCAGAAAAAGCAGCATTAATTGCAACTTTATATTCTATTGCAAGAAATGCTCTTCAATTACAATTTATGTTATTGAAATGCAGTCACTGAGTTTTTAATTTGTAATTGACACTTCAGTCCATAATTTCAGATAAGAGGTTTTGGAAAATAATTATTTAAAATTTTCATATAAACATAGGAAATGTATTGAATTAGTCTGAAAGACAGGGAAAAAATAAATTTTGAGATAAAGAGGTTTTTGAGATAAACACATTTGAGATAGACAGGTTCAACTGTATTTAAATAATTCAAATATTTGTTGAATTTATAAGTAGATAAAAATAAATCTATAATTAAATAGAATTTACAGGCTATTTGTAAGTCATAATTTAATTAGATACTAAATATAAGCAGTACTCCCACTTTTAATTAAAGTTTTTATGATTAGAAATAATTAATAATCTAAAAAAGATTGACAAAAGTTGGCTGAATTCTGAAAAATCAGGTAGGTATATTAGAAGTTAAGTTAGCTATATTTAGTCTAATCTCTCTTTAAATTTAATTTAGGATCCAGTAGTATAACTACCATTTGTGCAACCTGTGCAATTGCACAGGAGTCCAAAGCAGCTATAGACCCTCAGCCTCTCACACTACCAGCATAATTGTTTTATTATATGAGAATTATTCTGGCAATGGTATGTGATTGACCAATGTTAAGACTGGAACATTTGAAGGGGGAGAGAACAGTATCAGTCTGCAACTCAAAGAACTTCGACAGAAAAGAATGTGTATTTTCATTGGTTGCCAAAGTAAAAGTTGGTTAAGTACAGCATTATTTTAGACTGCAGCTACCTCCACATCATCAAAATAATAATAACAGGGAGAGTACGTAAGTGATATGAACTTTAGCTCAAGCTCTGCAAGCCTGGAATATATCATAAAAAATATAGCAATGAACTGAACCTTAAAAGAAATTCCAGGATATTCTATTGTAAATTCTAACGTTTTCAATCTACACAGAAGATCTTCCTAAAGATTCTCTAAATTGGAATGCGGAAATGAAACATTTTTAAGAATTACTTGAAAAAAAATGTATAAATGATACTTTTTAAAAAATTCTCTCAAAAGAATTTTTTTTAAAAATAAATTTAAATCAATTAAATCAAATTTAAACCTCTTATTTCAGATTCAATTCTGAGATTTGAATCTGAAAAAAGTGGCTGTTGCATTAATTTCAAAGAGGAAGAACAATTATCTTATGCCTGGCAATCCTTATACCAAAGGGAACAGTCGAATTAAAAAATTATTTTGAAGAGATTTAAATTTGATTTAATCAATTTAAATTTATTTAAAAAAAAAAACAATTTTGAGAGAATTCTTTAAAAATTCTTGTTTATACGTTTTTTTAAAATAATTCTTAAAAACATTCCATTTCCACATTCCAATTTAGAAAATCCCAAGGAAGATCTCCTGTGTAAATCAAAAACGTTAGAATTTACAATAGAATATCCTAGAATTTCTTTTAAGGTTCAGTTTGTTGCTATTTTTTTTTTTATATTAACTTTGTGCAAACTTAAGTTTCTTATTTATTTTGTTGTTGTTCTTTACAGTAAAACATTAACNTCCCCAGTCAGTGATGTATTTAACCAAGTAAGGTTATATCTAAATCTAATATACTTCTGGAAGCGAAGACTAGCTCGAGGGTCTGGGTAGCGTAACTGGTAAGCGCGCCGCACGGCAAGCGGAGGCTGCGGGTTCGAGTCCCGCCCCGGGCCAGTTCTTTTATTCCAGAAGATTCTAAATTTATTTATTGATTTATTTATTTAATTATTAATTTACTTAAGAGATGGTGCCTAACGTCTACCTCTAGTGTCAAATTACTTTATTCCAATCATTTAATTAGCCGTATTATAGCCCGATATTTAGGCGATCGTTTGGTGATGTATAAATCTATACTATTTGACACAAAATCCTGGAAATTGATGAAACCATACTGCAGCATAATTTTACATCACTGGAAATTTACAAGCTACATCTCACTTACACATCAACAGACAAAAAGCAATCAGAATAATCATTATTTATGTCAAAATAAATAATTTAATAAACTGTTAAATTAAAAAGTAAAAATACTACTCTTCCATCATGTAAATAAAAAATAAATACAGTAAAACCTTGATTAAATGGATAAATTTGGATGAGAAGGTTGAAATAAGGCTGAAAGTTCATTATATAATAAAGTAGGTTTCCCAAATATGTATGTTAAAAAATTGACAAATTAGTCAGTTTATTTGCTTTTACTTAAGTAAATACTCACTGAGACTGTAACAAACAAGTACATGATCTAAAGTGAAACAAATAAACAAACATTTTTTTGAAAAATACACTTTAATTGTATTTAAATAAACAAATAAATAATGCTCTTAAAAAGAAAACAAAATTTAAATTTGACAAAAACACAAAAAAACAATTCCTATTTATTATGAATAAATAGAAAATGTTATTTGGACGATGATGTAGCAAGACTCTCCTGTTGTGGTTAGTAAGAGCAGTGACTCTTGGATTTGAAATGAAAAGTTAACAAGTTAATTTAATTACATATAAAATGCATTTTAAAATTAACAAAGTATTAATTTTCACATATGACATATGGACTGGAAATTTTTCCTGTTAAATCAAGGTCCCTAAATTGTAGTTCTACTGTATTATAACATTATCATTAAGAAATAATAATAAAAATGAATAAATAAAAGTTTACATTTTTGCTTTACATAATATTTAAATTATTGTTCATAAGACAAATATATGAATAATAATGAAATTTTTAAAAATAATTACTTTAAGATATCTTCATTGACTGATAAATACAATCCTACACATTCAGCTCTGCATTCCTCATAAGATGAACTAAGTGCTGCAAATTTGGAATCATATGTTTCTCCTTCTTCATACCAACTTTTAATCTTAAAATAAAGAAAAACATAATATTGTTAGAAATGATGCAAATAGAAAAATTTACAATTTTTGTGATAACTCAGGATGTATTTTCTTCATAATTGAAGTTTAGACTATTTACAAAAAGTCAAATTAACTTTTGAGTCCATCTTTATCTCTTATACACTACCACAGAAGTAATAGTCTTAAAAAAAATTGCTTTGAAGAACTCTTCTTAAACACAGGTAAAAATTGGTAAAAAACTTCACAAAGTTAAAAAAGATCAAGTGTCAGTCTTTTCTTGTAGGTTCTGACACTTTTACAATTAAAAACACAAAGAAATTCTTCACACCTTTCATTTCTATCCACCTTTTAAACTGCTTCTAGCCCTCTAGTGGTAGTTACGAGTATCTACATTATTTGCATATAGTTACAATTTTTGCGATAACTTAGGATGTATTTTCTTCATAACTGAAGTCAAATTAACTTTTGATAAAGATGGACTCAAAAGTTAATTTGACTTTTTGTAAATAGTCTAAACTTCAATTATGAAGAAAAATTTAAATTAAGATATTATTATTTATAATAGTATATTTGCAAATAATATTTTATAATTTAAGTTCAATTAGAAACTATTTAAATGTGATATCTGGGAGTTAATTGTCTAATTAATTATAATGTGGGAGAAAAGTTTTAAACGATTTTCAATATTTTCGTCTCCCACGGGTTCGAAATAAAGTTTGAGTAAATATTAAGGAAAGAGTCAACAATAATCTAGGGAAACTCATTTAGTTGATGGTCTTCAAATCAACTAAACCAATATCAAATTGTTAACGTGTGGGAACAGCGATGACTTAAACAATTACACAATGAGAATCTAACAGCAATGAAAAGAAATAAACCATCTGCCCAAATTAGTCTAATTCTCACTGCCCTAGCTGGCCCACTGATGACACATCTGGAGTGTCATCACTACAAAACCTATGGTCACCTGATTGAATTCCCACACCTGATAGGGGACATAATGGCCACATCCCCCAATCTATGGGGCAGACATCTTGAAGAGCAAGAACAAAAGTTCTCATCTTGCCAACCCTCACCTCCATCAAAGTCTCCCTACTGACCACCAGACTACCTTGAAGACATTGGCATGCTAGAGTTATTATGCTTAAACAATATATGTAAACTTTCTCTTTGTTTATTAGTTAGTAAGTAGCTAGCTTTAGGATTGTAACCTCCACTTATGTATTTAATCTCTTTATGTTACTTATTAAACAGTATATTTGTGAGTTAGGATGCAAACTACTACTACATCCTAACTGATTCAGGAAAAACAATCCTCAACATCTAATGATCTTGGGACAAATACATTTTAATAGCCATCCAGTGACAACTGAGCAGGCCTAACTGTCCTGACACTGATCCAAGGGGTTAACAGTGACAACCTGTAACCCCCAGCTTCTCACATAAACATGAAAAAAATTATATAATATAAAATTTTTAAAAATTTCTAATGTATCTATTTAAAACATCTCTAGAATCAAGTCATACTTACAGTTTTACTCAATAAGGACTCAGCATTATACTTAATTATTAACTAAATTTTTTTTACATACAAAAAAGTGATAAAATAGTTTTAAGGAGATAGAAAAACATAATTAAGTTATTATATTAACATTTTCTGAATAGAGTATCTCATTTTCAGATCAAATTATAATTGAAATTAAACATTTTAAAATATAAAATCATACAATGTTCTTAAAAAGCAAACAAATAGCTTGTATTAACCAAATTGTTCTGTTTAAGAATTTAGTATGATTTTTTATTGTGAAATGTTCAATTTTAATGTAACCTGAAGATGGAATAATTCTGAAAACATTATAATAATAATCTTTTTTTTCGGACTCCTTAAAATAAAAATTAAAAAGTTTCATACAAAGTTACTAGATTTATTTATTACCTTTTCTTTGGTTTCTGTATGAAGAACAGTTTCTTTATCAAAATTGAAAGAACCATCTTTCTCTCTCTTGAAAAGCTTTCCACTTCCATGTCCTAGAAGTTCATGCAAGCCTACCTGAATTTCACAAGATCCCACTTGATGCTTTTTAAAAATTTCCTAGATAAGTGAATTTTATCTTATTTAGTTCAAATTCAACAACAGACTTTATTCAACAAGTCTAATTAATGATTTATTTAGTGATTTCAAGGTTTCCTCATCCTCAGAATCTATAAATAACATTATCATTAAGAAATAATAATAAAAATGAATAAATAAAAGTTTACATTTTTGCTTTACATAATATTTAAATTATTGTTCATAAGACAAATATATGAATAATAATGAAATTTTTAAAAATAATTACTTTAAGATATCTTCATTGACTGATAAATACAATCCTACACATTCAGCTCTGCATTCCTCATAAGATGAACTAAGTGCTGCAAATTTGGAATCATATGTTTCTCCTTCTTCATACCAACTTTTAATCTTAAAATAAAGAAAAACATAATATTGTTAGAAATGATGCAAATAGAAAAATTTACAATTTTTGTGATAACTCAGGATGTATTTTCTTCATAATTGAAGTTTAGACTATTTACAAAAAGTCAAATTAACTTTTGAGTCCATCTTTATCTCTTATACACTACCACAGAAGTAANCCATTGAAAATTCAGAAGCAACGAAACTGGATTTGTCCAAGGTAGTTGATATACCTGCTTTAAATAAGTCCAAAAAAAAAAAAAAAAAAAATTAGGCAGCTAGCATTCATCACAAAGTAAGTAGACCTCAGTACTAAAGTTTACTATTTTGAAATGAACAAATTACTTATCACTTCATAATTTTATTTACATTAAGCTGAGTTGAAAACAAAAAGGAAAACAGAAGCCTCATATGAGAGGCCCATTTTGGAAATGTTGAATATGGATCCAATCAAATCTAGTTAAGCACTGTTAAAATCATAATACAGAATGATTCAATTCACTAAGCTTCATTCGGTAAATATGTAATAGTATGTATATAAAATTTTGTGCTGGAACAAAAATTTATATTTATATAATGTGCAAACCATAGTTCATAATAAACCATTATTTTTTCTAAAGTATATAATGAAAAAAATACCTTGTAAAATAGTATTCGATTGTACAAACATCTTTCGAGGCTTTTTTCTTGCCATAACTATCTCTCTATAATTAAGAAATGGATAAGGTCCATCTTTTGATACAACAGAATATTTCTCATACATTTTGGTAGCACTTTCCACATCAGCTGTTGCTTTATATACCTAAATAAAGTTTTATAAAAAAAATTGATGTTAAATAAAATTATGATGATTTATGATCAGTAACTAGAACAGTAAGAAGTAATTTAGTAAAAGAAAGCAATTGGAATTAATAACTGTTACAGTCATATTTTAAATAATTATTTTAATAGATGGTATGTTTAAAATTATTGAGAAAACAAATATACTTCTAAATATCACTTTTGGTAGCTGTTATTATGATCTATGTATGTATGTCTCTTTAATCTGACATTAAGTTCAGTAGCCTATCATTACAGCTTTCAGGTTAGACACTTCTTTTATTGTTTCCACATATGCATTTCAGACTTATATAAATGTTAAGTCCCTCTTCAGTTGCAATACTGTTTGATACAATATTGGAAACAAATGGACCGAGAAAACAGTATTGCACTGAAGAGGGACTTAACATTTATATAAGTCTGAAATGCATATGTGGAAACAATAAAAGAAGTGTCTAACCTGAAAGCTGTAATGATAGTCTACCGAACTTAATGTTGGATTAAAGAGACATACATACATAAAACAAATATATATTTTTGGATATTTACAGAAAAATTTCTATAAAAAATCTGAAAAAAATAAAACTAAACATAGAAGTTATGGTAATATGATCTCAGAATTTATTAATTTATGAAGCATGTATTAAATAATGATGTTGCATTCTATATTATTGTAATTTAATTATAAATAATTTAAATTAATTAAAGACAAGTCTGTCCAAGAGGGATCACCATTTATTTTGCATTCCAGACCACACATACACATTAATGGCGACAGGCCTTCCTTTTTAGGCTTCATACCACCAAAGGTAAAAAAAAAAGTCCTTTAAAAAACGCAAACATCCAATTAAAAGTAAAAGAAATCAGTGACACAATGTCTTACTTCTCATCCATCTGGCCAATGGGTGGTTCTGCTTTATATCTACTAGAAAAGGCACTGGAAGATGTAGATTTTGAAGCTTCCCCCTGGTGACGGACAGTACATTTAAAAATTTCTTTTTGTTGAATTTTTCTGTCCGATGGTGGGATTATTACTAAATAAATGTCGCCATTAATGTGTATGTGTAGTCTGGAATGCAAAATAAATGGTGATCTCTCTTGGACAGACTTGTCTTTGATTTATTTAATAATAATCCTGCCATCGGACGGAAAAATTCAACAAAAAGAGGACTATATTTATTTTCAAATTCTGTTTTTTCTAAAGTTAGAGTTAAACATTTAATAAGCAAGAGAGTATTATTATTTATTAGCCTTATTAAAATTCATAAAATTTTATTAAAAAATAAACTAGAAACCTAACTAACAAAATTCAATGTAAGGCACTCCTCTACTTACGAATGGGTTAGGTTCCCGAGGTTTTGCTGTAAATCGAAAACTAAGCCAGAAAGTATATTTGTATACAGAATAATCACACATTGTTAGTGTTTGATCCTTCAATGTACTTAATAGAATACATTATGCTCATTTATCCATTTGCTACCATTTAGTAGTATTTCAAATGCAGTGTTTTTCGTCAAACACACTTGGTAATGTCGAGTTCAGTTTCTATAGTAATAGAGCCACACTTCTTGCATTTATCTCCACTACTAGATTTATTATTATGTTTTGGATGCAATTTTGAAGCACTAATCATNTATATATATAATTTATTAAAATCAATATGGCTATAATAATCTCCCCAAGCAATAATTCCTATTAAAAACTATCACATGGTACTGTGCATCTATATCCAAAAGGCATCTGAGCATGTGAGCTTGCAAACAAGAAACATTTTCTTCATTTTTCTACCATATTTATATGTAAATTTAATTATGTGTGCTTAAAATAAATTCAGAAAAAAAAAAATCTGATATGATGTTTGAGTATTATTCAGTAATCAAATAACAATTAACTATAAAATTCCTACAGACTACATAACAAGAACTTATACTGGAATGAATAATTTAAAATAAAAATAAACCTTTAAAAGAAAGTTATTGTTGATGTTAGGGCAGAGCTGTCTTATGTTTATTTAATAATTAAATAATTTGAATTAAATTACTATTAATTCAGAAACATTTAGAAAAAAGCATTGCCAATTTAAACTTTTCTGGCAAAGTGCAAAACAAAATGTATCAGCACTGTAGGATAATGAGACCAAATTTGTATGGTTATATTATAAATTCTAAAATTCTTTTATGTTTGAAAAAGTATGGATTAAAGCACTCATATAATTTAACTAATAGTGTATCTGTCAAATTTGAGAAAACTGTAGATTCAAAATCAATGCTGTTTTTTAGATATATTAATTAATATATCAAAAAACTTTAATACTAAAATCTTATAATAACTTTGATTATCATTAGCAACAAGCTTCTTTTGTTTATAATTCTGTTTAGCTTGATTATAATTTTATGAAGAACAAGAAATGGATCTCATTATGAGAGAAATCAAGCACAGAGTATTCAACACTAAACTGAGTGAATTTTCTGTCCTACTACAAGCAACTTATAATTTTAAATTGAATTTAGCAGAGGTGTTTGCAAGCTGTTTTCTCAAACTCTCAGACTTCACTGCATAAACAAAAATATTTTGGCACTCTATTGAAATTTTATATGACAGAATGACTTTCAAAGACAAGGCCAGAAGTGTTCATACAGCAAGGGTAGTCATAGAATCTTGTTTAAACCATGATAAGTGCAGATCAACATGTAATGCACAAGGACAAAGTTTAGTATAGGCATTGGATCAGAAGTGGTAGGTGAGAGTTCTTACAAAAACTACATGTCAAGAAAATGCTGTGTAAATGTTTTCCATTCCTTCTCAGACCAGCTAAAGTGATGCTGCTACATGATCCAAAAGTTTGAAAATGTGCAATCAAAATATTTTCTTTAAAATCATATTTGACATTATAACGAATAATAATATAACATAAAAACAGATTTCATACATTATAACTCCAAATACTGTTACTTCACTTGTAATAGTATTTGGAGTTATAATGTATGGAATCTATGAACAAAATCATTGAAAACATATAGAAGATTTTACAAGTTGTAAAATCCTTTTTGAATAATTCTGTATTTACCTGTAATTTTCTCAGAAAAGCCCCAATTGCAGATACTCCAACAGATTTAATCTTGCTTCGATCCATTGTGATTAGCAAATCAGGTTTACCATCAGCACCATCTAATTTTTCTACATTAACAAATCCATTTCCAGCTTCTAACAATACTTGAAGTATCACATATCGTGCTTGGGAATGAGCCTATAAAATAAAATTACTAAATAAAATTATTTCAACATATTAAAAATTTCAAATAATATATACTAACCTGCAACCATGATTTAGAATTAGGTTCATACATTTGCAACCCTTCAAGACCTAACCGAACAAGTTCAAGCCAATTCACATATGTCACATCTTCAGCTTCATCTTTTGAATAGCCAAATATTCTATAATAATATAAATTTTCTAGATTAGTATATTTAAGTTATCAAGAGAAAGTAAAATATAATTAGCTGAACTTATTAGTTTTAAACATACTACATAATAATGTAAAAAAAGATAAGACTTTTAGCATATCACTATGACTATTGAAAATGGATTCCAACATTTAGAAAGCACTTGATCCTTATCAAGTTGTTAACAGCTGTATTAACATACAAAAATTATCAACCCAAGCATTTGATTTTATTGTTTGCAATGAAATTTACATATTCTTATATTATGGAGTAAACTTGCATAGAACTTGATGAAATATTAACTGATACAGATCAACATAAAAGGTTTGAAACTTATGAATGAATTTTCAAAGACTTTTAGTGATGAAGTAAATTACTACTAATAATCTAAATAACTCATTATTGAACACATTATTATAGCATTATGCATTTTGTTAAACTATACCAGTTTGCTATAGAAGAACAATCACATTCAAGATTAAAAATTATTTAAGATGTAGTATGGTTCAGAATAACTAGAAAATCTTGCTATTATTTTAATAGAATCAGAATTACTGGAAGAGTTAAACCTTGAAATACCAATAAATCAATTTACAAAAAATGCAGCACTCAAAGTAAAGTTTGTTCATTAATGAATTAGTTAAATTATTATTATTTTCCTGTATTCTGTTTATATAATTTGCAGTTTACTTAGAAAATGTGAATGTGACTATTTCTTTTTGTTTTATATTAATAAACAACTTTTATAACAACATAATGTATTCTTTTATTTATGGTATCATTTTTAATTTTTATTGTTATTTAAAAAAGTGTAAAGTTTATCTTTGCATGAGGGAATTCAGAAAGCTTGACACAGTCCTAAACAGTAGCATTTGTCATTTAACATAAACATCATTATTTATTACCTATGTTTCATGCTAGTGCACTTTTCCTGAAGACGAATTTATCATACTAGATTAGCCACAAAACAGAATGACCTTGAGACACAATTTTCTTCTATGTATTTACTTTTTGATATGCATTTCAGACCTAACAAATCCCTTCTCAGTCCTAATACATAGATCCTTACTTTTTGGATTTTTAGGCATATGTATACATTATTAATTTTATAATAAAATCTTCTCAATATATACACACATGTATGACAAAAATCTACCAAATCAGCACGTTTTAACCTGGACACAAACTTGAAAAGAAAATCTATACTATATATAAATATCAACAACTCATAGCCCGAGTAGTAAATACATCACCAAACGATCGCCTAAATATNATGGTTGCCTTATATCTTCTGTTGTTCTGCTTTTTAAACATGATAAATGAGCATTGTCAGATTGATGTAAACCCAATGATGTAAAAGAATAAAAATAGATAAAAGCATTCTATAAACTAAATTCAGATTTTTCATTATGAATTTCTTACATCTTTTATAAAGCAATTTATTTAAAAAATTATATATTTATTGTTATATCATCATTAATATGATTTTATTTTTGTGAGAATTTAACCATATAGTTTACCATTATTTAATAAATCTGAAAAAAATTAATGTGAGTAATGAATTAGACTAATTATTCAAATCTATTACACTGAGTGATTTTAACCAAAAGGCCATTTTTTTTCACTGGCCTAGAACTACTATAAAGCAATCCATTTATACAAATTATATAAAAATGAAAGTATGTGTGTGTGTCTGTCCTTTATGCATTACCACACCGTTTATCCGATTGTTGTGAAACTTTGGGAAGTTGTTTAATATACTCCTGCGAAGGTTTGTGGCCATAGTACGATTGCCACAAAGCTTTGGGAAGTTTTTTAATACACTCCCGCGAAGTTTTCTGGCATTTACCCTATGATAAATGGCGCACGTTTACACAAGCATTCACACACAGTGTGTTTGATCNGAAGATTCTAAATTTATTTATTGATTTATTTATTTAATTATTAATTTACTTAAGAGATGGTGCCTAACGTCTACCTCTAGTGTCAAATTACTTTATTCCAATCATTTAATTAGCCGTATTATAGCCCGATATTTAGGCGATCGTTTGGTGATGTATAAATCTATACTATTTGACACAAAATCCTGGAAATTGATGAAACCATACTGCAGCATAATTTTACATCACTGGAAATTTACAAGCTACATCTCACTTACACATCAACAGACAAAAAGCAATCAGAATAATCATTATTTATGTCAAAATAAATAATTTAATAAACTGTTAAATTAAAAAGTAAAAATACTACTCTTCCATCATGTAAATAAAAAATAAATACAGTAAAACCTTGATTAAATGGATAAATTTGGATGAGAAGGTTGAAATAAGGCTGAAAGTTCATTATATAATAAAGTAGGTTTCCCAAATATGTATGTTAAAAAATTGACAAATTAGTCAGTTTATTTGCTTTTACTTAAGTAAATACTCACTGAGACTGTAACAAACAAGTACATGATCTAAAGTGAAACAAATAAACAAACATTTTTTTGAAAAATACACTTTAATTGTATTTAAATAAACAAATAAATAATGCTCTTAAAAAGAAAACAAAATTTAAATTTGACAAAAACACAAAAAAACAATTCCTATTTATTATGAATAAATAGAAAATGTTATTTGGACGATGATGTAGCAAGACTCTCCTGTTGTGGTTAGTAAGAGCAGTGACTCTTGGATTTGAAATGAAAAGTTAACAAGTTAATTTAATTACATATAAAATGCATTTTAAAATTAACAAAGTATTAATTTTCACATATGACATATGGACTGGAAATTTTTCCTGTTAAATCAAGGTCCCTAAATTGTAGTTCTACTGTATTATAACATTATCATTAAGAAATAATAATAAAAATGAATAAATAAAAGTTTACATTTTTGCTTTACATAATATTTAAATTATTGTTCATAAGACAAATATATGAATAATAATGAAATTTTTAAAAATAATTACTTTAAGATATCTTCATTGACTGATAAATACAATCCTACACATTCAGCTCTGCATTCCTCATAAGATGAACTAAGTGCTGCAAATTTGGAATCATATGTTTCTCCTTCTTCATACCAACTTTTAATCTTAAAATAAAGAAAAACATAATATTGTTAGAAATGATGCAAATAGAAAAATTTACAATTTTTGTGATAACTCAGGATGTATTTTCTTCATAATTGAAGTTTAGACTATTTACAAAAAGTCAAATTAACTTTTGAGTCCATCTTTATCTCTTATACACTACCACAGAAGTAATAGTCTTAAAAAAAATTGCTTTGAAGAACTCTTCTTAAACACAGGTAAAAATTGGTAAAAAACTTCACAAAGTTAAAAAAGATCAAGTGTCAGTCTTTTCTTGTAGGTTCTGACACTTTTACAATTAAAAACACAAAGAAATTCTTCACACCTTTCATTTCTATCCACCTTTTAAACTGCTTCTAGCCCTCTAGTGGTAGTTACGAGTATCTACATTATTTGCATATAGTTACAATTTTTGCGATAACTTAGGATGTATTTTCTTCATAACTGAAGTCAAATTAACTTTTGATAAAGATGGACTCAAAAGTTAATTTGACTTTTTGTAAATAGTCTAAACTTCAATTATGAAGAAAAATTTAAATTAAGATATTATTATTTATAATAGTATATTTGCAAATAATATTTTATAATTTAAGTTCAATTAGAAACTATTTAAATGTGATATCTGGGAGTTAATTGTCTAATTAATTATAATGTGGGAGAAAAGTTTTAAACGATTTTCAATATTTTCGTCTCCCACGGGTTCGAAATAAAGTTTGAGTAAATATTAAGGAAAGAGTCAACAATAATCTAGGGAAACTCATTTAGTTGATGGTCTTCAAATCAACTAAACCAATATCAAATTGTTAACGTGTGGGAACAGCGATGACTTAAACAATTACACAATGAGAATCTAACAGCAATGAAAAGAAATAAACCATCTGCCCAAATTAGTCTAATTCTCACTGCCCTAGCTGGCCCACTGATGACACATCTGGAGTGTCATCACTACAAAACCTATGGTCACCTGATTGAATTCCCACACCTGATAGGGGACATAATGGCCACATCCCCCAATCTATGGGGCAGACATCTTGAAGAGCAAGAACAAAAGTTCTCATCTTGCCAACCCTCACCTCCATCAAAGTCTCCCTACTGACCACCAGACTACCTTGAAGACATTGGCATGCTAGAGTTATTATGCTTAAACAATATATGTAAACTTTCTCTTTGTTTATTAGTTAGTAAGTAGCTAGCTTTAGGATTGTAACCTCCACTTATGTATTTAATCTCTTTATGTTACTTATTAAACAGTATATTTGTGAGTTAGGATGCAAACTACTACTACATCCTAACTGATTCAGGAAAAACAATCCTCAACATCTAATGATCTTGGGACAAATACATTTTAATAGCCATCCAGTGACAACTGAGCAGGCCTAACTGTCCTGACACTGATCCAAGGGGTTAACAGTGACAACCTGTAACCCCCAGCTTCTCACATAAACATGAAAAAAATTATATAATATAAAATTTTTAAAAATTTCTAATGTATCTATTTAAAACATCTCTAGAATCAAGTCATACTTACAGTTTTACTCAATAAGGACTCAGCATTATACTTAATTATTAACTAAATTTTTTTTACATACAAAAAAGTGATAAAATAGTTTTAAGGAGATAGAAAAACATAATTAAGTTATTATATTAACATTTTCTGAATAGAGTATCTCATTTTCAGATCAAATTATAATTGAAATTAAACATTTTAAAATATAAAATCATACAATGTTCTTAAAAAGCAAACAAATAGCTTGTATTAACCAAATTGTTCTGTTTAAGAATTTAGTATGATTTTTTATTGTGAAATGTTCAATTTTAATGTAACCTGAAGATGGAATAATTCTGAAAACATTATAATAATAATCTTTTTTTTCGGACTCCTTAAAATAAAAATTAAAAAGTTTCATACAAAGTTACTAGATTTATTTATTACCTTTTCTTTGGTTTCTGTATGAAGAACAGTTTCTTTATCAAAATTGAAAGAACCATCTTTCTCTCTCTTGAAAAGCTTTCCACTTCCATGTCCTAGAAGTTCATGCAAGCCTACCTGAATTTCACAAGATCCCACTTGATGCTTTTTAAAAATTTCCTAGATAAGTGAATTTTATCTTATTTAGTTCAAATTCAACAACAGACTTTATTCAACAAGTCTAATTAATGATTTATTTAGTGATTTCAAGGTTTCCTCATCCTCAGAATCTATAATTAAATTATAATTTTTAAGCAAGAATTTTAAAATTATACTGAAATATAATTTTTAGAAGCTAAAGAAATTCTAAGTAAGTTTACATAACAAGTTACTTTCATTTAAATTAATAACAAACATATGATTTAAACATTAATTTAAATGTTAATTTTAAAGATTTTCAAATTATCTATTCAGAAATTATGTTTGATTCTGATTCATCTGAAGTTACTTATTCAAGTGCTGTCTTGGTTATAGTCACTATTACATTTTCTTGCAAAACTGTTCCTAAATTTTTTAATTAAATTTATTAATTTTCATTAATTTGGCTTAGAATAAATTATTTCCATACCCAGGGCTCTATTTTTTATTTACATACATGTATTTACATGTATGTACAATGTGTAATTTTTGAGTTATTTCAGTGAAGTGATTAAAATGGAGCACCCTGTACAGTATTCCTAAGAGATGGAGGAGTTGAGAGATTTGAATTCAATAAACAACCCTAAATGATCTTGATACTTCAGATAAGGGATCATATCTCAGCAATCCTGAGAGTGCTCTCTTACGTGGACTTGACCATATATAGAAGGTATGGACTTGACTGCATATTCATTATAATGAAAATTTTTTCATTAAAAGTTACAATTAAAAATTTGCTTTCTTAATTTAAGAATTCTTATAATTTTAAATCACATTGAATTACACTGTGTTTTTCATATTTTTTTTAATTTACAAAAAAATAATTTTTACTTACTTGATCAGATTTATTTATAAAATTTTGTGCAGTTTCTGTTTTTCTTGCTAACATAACATTACTCAAAGAAACATTTTTAAAACCTTCATTTTGTCTAATTTCATCATCTGTAAAAAAATTATAATTAATTGTATTTAGATATCTTATTTTAGAATGTTCATTTGAAGCTATATAAAGAACTAAAAGTATGACAATAGTAAATTATAAAGTTACATTTGTAGGAATTGACATTTGTCATTAATGCTTAGAAAGAAAATATAAGGATTTACTATGTTTCCCAACATGTATAAGATAACCACACTGAAATTACTCACAAAAAAAAACTGCGTACACAGAACCAATAAAAAACAAATGTTTTTGAACCCCTTTTGGGCTCTGCATGAGGTTCTTAACGATTCCTAGATGGATATTCAATTAACTAATGCCATTTAAATAATGTTCAATCATAAGTTCAAAATGATTTACAAAAAACTATGTGCAATGAGTTGTCCTGCCTGGATACTGAGCGGCTAGAGCATGTACCTGGCATACAGATCTTAGGTACGGGTCAAAGATGATCTGTATAAACCAAGGTTGCCAGAAAACACCAGGTACGAATCACTTTCAGGTGGTGCCCTACTATCTTATGTAATGGGAAGGACCCTCCTAACCCCCAGCAGATGCCCAAAATCTATAGTGTCCCTTTAAGAGATAATAGATGCAATAGGGACCTGATATATATAGGATCTACTAAACAGTCCATGGGCGTCAGAATTCAAGAACATCAGGCAGATATTTGTCATGAGAGAACCTCCATGGCCCTCACTACTTATGTCACAGATCCAGACATAGTGCCCAACTTTAATAAGGCCAATCTCCTTCTCACTGTACCTCCCAATGAACACCTCAATGGTTAGGGGCTATGCACATCTTTAAATCCTCCTCACAACCACGTGCATAAATTTTAAAGACCCAATAAACTTGTCATTGGCCTGGCAAGAGTTGATTCACAGCACGCTCTAGCCACTTGTAGTATCTGGGCAGGATGACTCGTTATGCATGTGTGACGTAGTTTTTTTGTAAATTGTTACGAACTTACGATCAAACGTTATTTAAATGGATTTAGTTAATTGAATATCCATCCAGGAACCGTTAAGAACCTTATGCAGAGTCCAGAAGAGGGTTCAAAAGCATTTGTTTTTTCAATATTTTTCAATGTTTCGTTATCAAACTGTATGTTGTATGCAGTTATTTTTTTTGTGTATAAGATAATTAAAACATCATAAGATATCATTGTTAAAACTGTTATTTTTCTTGTAAGTTTTATTTTCTTTTATTTAGAAAATAGAAACTATTCCTAAGTCATAACAGATTAAAGAAATAAAATATTAATTGTAATTATGCAGTTTTTGTTTACTTTTTTAGCTACTTTTTACTTCACTAATATTTAAAAAATTTAAGATAAAACTATTTGAATACTTACAATTTGGGATGCATATCCCAATAGGAATACCACTTCCTGCAAAAGTTAATACATCTAAAGATGTAAAATCTGGCTTTAAAAATTTATCCTTCTCATATGTATCTGGCCAAGGTAACAATGGCAAAAAGGTTGAAGAATTATTAACAAGCTCACTAAATTTATGACTCATGCTTTTATTTACTACTGCAACAAAGCCTACATAAATATATAAAATTTACAATTAGTAAAAACACAAAAAACAACAGTATTAATATTAATAATGATATAATTTGTGTTAATATATAAGTAATAATAATTGGTGTTCAAAATTAAGAGATTTTGCACACTTTGTTGAATTTCTGAAAAACCAATGGACACATTTGAATGAAATTTGGTGTAGATACACAGTTATGTAAGAGAAAAAAGTATACTATACAACAGTCATACTACACACTCATCAGCACAGGAATGTCCAAAACCCACGTTGCAAGATCAAACGTAAAATGACTTGAATATGGGTTATAGTCTCCTCTCACATTGTCACATCATACTGAAAATGATACAGCTGACGAGTTCCTGTGACAGTCAGTCTCACTCCTGCAGCAACACAGTTTTCAGCTCCTGGGTGGTTCTCAGAGGGAGGTGAGCTGCAATTGCCCTCCCAACAGCATGCCAGACATGTTCAATGGAGTTTAGGTCTGGAGATCTGGCTGACCAGTCCATCCGGCAAATATCCCCACTTTCAAGATAATCATTCCATCATCCACATAGGGTTCACCTATGTGGATGAGGTTGTCATCCATAAAAATGAACTGAGGGCCATTGCATCTCTGCAAAGTCAAACATAAGGCTGTAAGATCTCATCCTTATACCTCTCAGCAGTTAGGGAGCCTCTGTCAAACATATGGAGAGGTGTGTGGCCGTCCAACATAATACCTGCCCAGACCATGATACCTCTGCTGCCATAGCAATCCTTTTCTCAGATGTTGGAGAAAAGAAATCAGGTTCTAGGTTCTCTCCAGATAAAGGTGAGTCAAGAAGCTGAGTCCAGACTGAATCACAACTCATCTGTGAAAAGAACGGTACTCCCACTGAAGTCTGGTCCAATGCTGATGTTGTCTGCACAATGCTAAAAGCACTCTCTTGTGTGCTGAAGTGAGAGGAACACAAACAGCAAATCTTCTGAAAAAAAGCACTCTTTCATGAAACCTCTGGGAAACAGTAACCCTTGAAAGTTGTTTCAGTGGTGGCATGCAGCTCACGAGATAGCTGTGAAGCTGTAGTAGTTCCAAAGTGTCTTGCTGAAAGTGTCAAATAACAATCTTTATTGGCTTTCATGGCTCTTGGACAACCTTACACAGGCCTTGTAGATATGGATTCAACATCCTTAAACTATTTCCACAAATTGCAGACAACACTGGGCATTACACATTGAGCTCTGTAGCAACCGCACTTGTGATTGCCCTGCCTCCAATCAACCCATGATTCTCTACCCATTCCATCATCAAGACATTCATGGCTACTCATTTTACCTGATTACTTATGAAATTGAATCAAATCTTTCAAAAAAAAAAAAAAAACAGCAAATTACCAAAAGTTACCAAAGAGTACAAACGAACTAATTGCAGTCAAAGCCAGGTGTACTTTTTGTGCCCTCCATTGTCAAAATTCTGCCCACATACATGTGTAAACTTACAAATTCAACATAAAAAGTTTGCATTCTTATTTGGCAGCATAATTTGTACTTTTGGTTCATTACTTTTTGTTAAAATCAACAAAATGTGCAAATTCCCTTTAATTTTGAACATCAGTGATTATTATTTATAAAAGATTAAATTATCTTATAACATTATCCAATCACATTTTCATTATTTCTTGTTCACAATATAACATATAAAAAATGAAAGTTCCAATACTGAAACTATCTCAATGCAAATCAATCACAGTTTATCTATACTGTATTACATATCATTCAAAATCTAACTGAGAAGAAACAATCATGATTTTACAGATTAATTATGGTAATTTCCTGTGTATTATTGGCAGTGCAGAAAATTTCTAAAATGAAAATGAAAGCAATGCATAACCCATACCCAGCTCTAAAGTTTCTGTTAAAAATTTTGCCTAACAGGGCAATTATTTCAGATATTGTTTTCCCCCTTTTCTTTCATTTTAATCAGCAATTCATTGTAGTTATAATTATAAAATAAGTGAAACTGAGAAAATATGAAATATTTGAGAGAAAACAATCTAAACTTTATAAGTATTGAAATTATCATTATTATTATTATTAATAATGCATGTTCAATGAAAGATAAGCTTCCTTATATGGTAATTATAATCGTTATGCCATTCAATGGGATACTGAAATTCTGTTTCATTTATCCATTGTTTTACTGCTTAGAAAACATTACTTGAAAATTTATTTTATTACTGTCTTCTAATTTAAAAGTTATTTCATAAAAACTTTTGTCAATTTCATCTCACACTTTATTTCTAAATTCAAATAAAGTATCCCTCATATAACATGATACTGTAGTTACATTCTGAAAATGTGCCATGTTATGCAAATCTGTGCTATTCAAAACAAAGGACTAATGCAAAACATGGTGTTACATTTCAGAAGTTAGCAAAAGTATACTATTCTTTTTGTTACTAAGACAAATATGTTTATTAAAGCAATCAATAATTTATTTCCAATCAATAATTAATTAATAATCATAATCAAAAGTACTGTATTACACATTAATATTAATTTTAGTTAAACAAGGGCATTTTCTTTTTACAAAGTATTGTCATTTCAGCTTTTTTGTTCATCTCAATCAGAAATATAAGCAACATCATTTTTATATTTTTTATTTTTATTATTAAAAAAGTTTTTATGGATGACAAAATAAAAATATGTTTTTAATTGAAAATTTGTTCTAGCAGGTCAAGTTTGTTCAGTCAATTACCAAGATACTACTGTATTTCATTTGTCATTTTACAAATGATTGCTCACCTACAGTTTAAAGAATGTTTAATAACACTTACCTAAAAATGCTTAAATAAACTTTACTAAATACAAAGATCAATCTATAAATAAAAAAATAATAATAAAAAAAAACACACAGTGACAGTCTTAAGGGCTAAAGTCTAAAAGCAACTACAATGACACCTGATTGATAGGTAAATTCTTCCTTGTCCTATCAGTTTTCATTAAAGTAAACTTGACAAAATACACAAAATACTTTAAAAATTAGAATATTGTAAAAACCATGGGCTAATTTGAGACATGCATGCATGCTTACTTGAATAAAAAAAAAATATATCAAATAACAAAGTTTACACTTAAAAATTGTGAAATTTTGAATGGAGGATTAACAAAACTGTATTAGAGCAAAAACGAAAGTCTCATGTTGTACGAGGGATATCCTGAATTTTCAAACCGTATTAGAGCGAAACCATGTTGTAGATTGTGTTGTAAGTGGGATATATCTGTACAGAAAGCAATAACAGAATAGTTAAACATTTTCATGTTATTAATTATTGTTTTCACACTTATCCTTTATTAATTAGCTTTTTAAATTAATTTTAAACTTAACTTAAAAACTTTAGAGTTGAGTCAGTATCAGTAAACACAGCAGTAAAAAATGAAAACAATTTTATTTAAATATTAATTATGATATAGGCCAAGAATTACCTTCAAACTCTCCTCTCATTCCAGCAGGATCTCTATAAGTTTCAATAAATCCTATATATCTGAAAATATAAAGTTTTATTTAAAACTAATACCCATATAAAAATAAACTTTTAACACATGACATTGTCATCATAATTCCAAGACTAATTAATCTATTAAATGACGTGGTATTAATGATAAACATTGGATACTTAGGCAACAAGTGTACAGTTATTACCTGGAAAATTAAGTAATTGGGAACGTAATTTCCAAATGATCTGTTTAATAATCACAGTTTCCAATACTATTTCCATGTTAGTTTGCTAGTTTTTTGTAATATTAAAAACAAAGATAGAACTAGTATTAAGAAAATATAAGCAAACAACATTAATATTCCTCTGATACCTTTTGCTAAAATTCCTAAAATCAAAACAATTGATAACCCCTGCTTTCACAGTCTGTACTCATATATTGTTGCCATGGTTAGGAGATTCTGATTTAAGAGGCATTCAGTCATAATCTCATGTATGGTAGCTTTGCACCACTAGCCACTTGACCAAGCATATGTACAGTGTCCAAACTTACAGTTCCTCTCACTATCGCAAAAGTAGTCATCAGTAGGGTAAAACTAATCTGTCTGACAACTAATTATTAATACTCCCTAATTATTGTTAATGTGAGAATACGGACGCTGTTTTTATTTTTTCACTAACTGCGTAGTAAGTGAGGGTGACTTTCGTCGTCTGAAGGTCATCGACGAGGGACCACGATGTCACGTGACCCCCATACGTCCGAGCGACTGGGCGATAAAAATGACCAAATAAGGAGATAAGTTTTTCTACGGCGCGGGAGACTGTTATAAATCAGGGAGAACTGTCAAAAAGACGTCAACAAATTCCAGATTTTTCCCATGCTGATCAGGTATATAAAGGAGTCGGATTTTCTACTCGGCGCTGAGCCAAGGCGCGCTTAGCCGAAGAAACCCCTCTGCACACCTCAAGAGCGATCGTCGGGGAAGAAACATCGACGCACGATCTTCCAGCTCTCTCAGGATCTACGAAGCTCATAATCGCCACTCCATGCAAAGGTAAAAACTTTGAATATTTTTCTATTCTCCTGATACGACGGAATTACTCCTCGAAGAGATTAACAGAAGAAACCTCCGAGCAAACTTCACCAGGAAGAACTCTTTACAGATTAGGAGCGACGGAGCATACACCGTAACCGGACATAGCCGCACGGCCTGAGAAGGACATCGCTCCACATAGCCTTCAAAGGAAACCTCGGATTAGAAGACGACGATCACAGAGTGTTTTATCAACGCCCTATAATTGGAGAACGTTGCCTTCGAGGTAAACCCTTGCCATTATTATTTATCTCTCTCTAACGTGAGCTCTCTCGGATTTTAGCATTAGGTTAGAATAGATTTTAGAATACCTATTTATATCTTGATATGCGTATGTTGTATTTAATATCTTTGTGTAAATTTTCTTAGTTGTTTATTAAATGTGTTCGTTAATTTAAACCGTGCAATCTTTTGGACACCTGATTACGACTTCCGACTCCTCCCCACTCATATTTTTAGCCCTCCTATGCCATCTGACAACCGAGAGCAGGTCTTTCTGACCCGTGCAGATTAAGAGGTCATTAGGGTTCAACTCAGTGGCCCCCTGCTACTCACATTAATAACTGGAATTGAATATATAAAAAAATACACTTATTACAATCACAGATTATTGTTTAATGTTACCAGAATTAGCACGTCTCAAACATGTAAGATGTTTACAATTATCACAATCAGAACTATTGTTCATCCAAAACACACCAATATATACTATATACTGATATTTTTTATGCTGTCTACTGGAAGACAGCATAAAAAAATATCAATATATAGTATACAGTACTGTGAGTTTCTCAGTAAGAAAAATTCTATATATTCCAGACAAGAAGTCTAGTGACTAGCACAATAAAAACAAACAAAACCAACTAGGTAACTCTAACAGCTGCAACAAATGCCATGATCCAATAATTGGAACTGACAGAAAAAGCAAATAGAGTGGGGACTCTGTCTTTTATCACAGCCTATCTCTTGGTAAACAGATAATACTGTCTGGTAATCTGGTAATTGTCTATTCCTGCTATGTTCTTGTCAAGAAATGTATGAAGCACCACCAATGGTAAAATTTTGAAAGGGATAGGTAAAAACGTGGTCACTGAACAATGAGCACCATTTATTGATACATTGAAAACAAAAAATAGGAGATATACAAAAAATTTGGAAAATGTTCTAAATGTATTTATTATATTATAAATGTGTACAATTATAAAGAAAAAAATGAATAATTAGTAAATTAAAGTCTATTTTTTAGTTATTGTTTCATTTTTCCTGAAACAGAACTTTATTTATTCTTTTAAAAGACTATAAATTTAATTTATATTTCTTTATGTACCTGGTCACATTATTTACACTATATATAACTTTTAATATAAAATAATTGCTATCTTTTTTTTTTTCTTACCAACTCTTTATCCAAGGAAAAGCATTTTTAGTTACCTTATATGAGACATATTTCCAGATGCAAAAGTGGGTTTGAGAAACAAATTCTAGAAGGGAAGATTACTGGCAAATGCCCTAGAGGCAGATATTGGATTAAGTGGGCAGACCAAGAATGATGATTACAGGACATACAATGTATGAAGCCATCCAAATGGCACAACACCGTGAGCAGTGGAAAGATGCAATTAAAGCTGTCAATTCATAATATCACCAAGCCCTTTGAAGGACATAGGACTAAGAAGAAAGACAATCAATATAAAATAATTACAAAAAATTGGGTTCTACTGTATTTAATTATTTTCAATATGTTAAAAAATATATCACATTGTTATTATTAGTTTAGAAAAGATCAATTTTTAAAAATTTTTTTGTGAAACATTTCTTTAAAATTGATGATTTGTTGAAACTTAAAACAACACATTATATATTATTATTATACATAATGTATTTTCTTCATTATAAACCTCAAATGTAAAACTATTGTGAGATCCATGATTTTATGGATATTAAAATCCATTTTTAAGAAATTTTTTATTTAACATCAATTGCAATCGTTAGAAAACATCACAACAAACACAGATTGAATGACAGCTTTACTATCAACAAACGGATGAGAATCTTAACAGTCGGTTGCAAAATGATAACATCCAATGGTGAAAGGAAAGGAAAGTGACAGCATTACATCAATGAAAGTCATTGCTGAACTCGCACCTGCAAAAGCAACCTTCGTTTCTAAACAACTGCCAATCACATGATTGACTGTCCCAGGCTGAACACATAAAAGGATGAGACAATGATAGTTCTAGGCGGTTGTCCTAAGGAAAGGTGTTCGTTCTTGCATAGAAGCATTCGATACATCCGCCATATCCAGTGGATACCGATGGACATCGGTATCCACTGGATATGGCATAACCCATTGAACGTGTGTCTGTCCACGTAATGTCAAAAACGGTATGCCAAAAACAGACACTAGATGCACCCTAGCGATGATTTTAAATTAACAAGAAACTATTTTTATTTGTAATAGGAATTTATTATTTATACCACGGAATGGTATAAATAATTATTATATGCCTAGTCTTGCCTTATTATGTGCTGTGATTAACCTTGTGCAGCACGTTTACAACATCCCGTGACTCACAAGTCAGTGAACATCGCACATTGACCCAAGGGAAATTAGTTAAAAAAATGGCGGATACATTTAGAATCAAGGTTTACAAGCGAAGGTAAATAAACAAATTAAACTATTTTAAAGTATTTATAGAATGTTTAATAGGTAGAAATCTAGATCCGTATGATGCAATTGGGACTTTAACAGAGCTGTAGAGCATATTGATAGGAAGAAAAAAGTCAAAGAAACCGTGCCTCATGGGAATTTGTAAATAATGCCCACTAGGGGGCGTCCCGGACTACTAGTAAATAAATAAATCATCCTTATAATAATTCTAAAGCAATATTACTCAGAATCATTTTTTATAATGTAAAAAATTAATTAAGTAAAAATGAATACAAAAAGAAAAGACTCACGTTTCTACTATTGGACCTTTATCTTTTATCCAGTGACGAGAACCATCTTTATGGGCATCTAATGATCCTGTTCTGAAGCTTTGAGTATATTTCTCCAACATTACTTTTTCATGTTCATTTGCTGCATAATTCTAATAAAATTTTATCAACTTATTATTTTACATATCACCATCAAAAAGACTAAATAATATATATTAAAAACATATGTATATAAATCATATTCAAATAAATAATAGTTTTAATCTTTTAATGCTACTTTACAATATGATTACCTTCAGCAGTGTAATTTCAGCATTTTGTGATGTTTTGCAACATTCTGCATGCTCAAATTGTTATTTATAATAATTCTTATACATAAATAACCTTTGCTTTTTACATATACAGTAAAATCTGTCTATGGCGACCACCCACGGTTCCTTCAAAAAGTGGTCTTTTAGACAGGTGGTTGTCCAATACAGGTGGTGCTGTAATACCATATTTCCGTATGTATTTTGCGCACTTTTTAACCATTTCTACTAAGCAAAACTCGAGGTGAGCAAAAATAAGCGAATTTTTTCAACGATATGGCTATATTGGTATTGTATTTTATTCTTATCAGATAACCCGATTTACAGAAGTCATCATGATATTATAAGACAGATTTAACACCAATAAAGATTAATACAATACTCACATTTTCTCAATTATAATGCACACTTTCTTTTTTCCGACTTAATTAATTCGACTCGGTTCTTTTCGTTCGCTCCTCAGTTACGTGTATTACGTCATCAATATACAAGCGCGTCCTATCTCTCCATCACTTTGCTTTTGGTTTTCGTTAGTTTAATCTTATTTTAACTTTAAAAATACTGTTTTTTTTTAATATTTAATATTTTCTTAATTAATTAAGTACAATAAGAAAAATTATTAATTAATAATAAAACGATTTTATTATTTTTTCTCATTATACGATTTCATTACAATCGCGGAATCGAAAAAGGAAGTAAAACTGATTTTTGCATTAATGCGTTTATTGTTTTTTGAATATTTTGCCTGCGAAAATTACTTGGATATTATTTTTCTAAAAATATCGTGGAAATAAGGTAGGTTGATACAGAAACTATTTATCGCACGTGTACTGTATATGAGCTTCAAAATAAATAAATAAAAATAGATTTTATCAAACGATGAGATCAGCCGATTAATTGTATCGTGTACAATATTTTACACCCCCAAGGAAAATACTGTAGGTCTAGGGTAAAATAAATTTTGTTTTCCCACAGTTAAACTTCGCCGCTAATTGCTGTTGTGATAACTTTAATACGATCTTCTAACAACAGCACTTTGCATTTCGGACATTTTCCAACAAACTGAAATGAATTTCCTTTGTTGCTAGACTAATTTATTAACACCTGCACCTAATTTCAAGTGTGGGAGAAGTGCCCGGAATGGGTTCGAACGAGCGTTTAGACTAATTCATTATATTAGGAACTGGAAACATTGTTGAGATGGGTTCTTACAATAGTTTAGACCAGATACACTCGCGAAAGTGGTCGCTTAGGTGTTGTATGTTGTTTCAGACCAAAAATCGATGCCTGTGGTCGCGTTACACAGGTGGTCGTTTAATACAGGTAACTTATATGAAGACTCTATGGATAAACTATTCCGTGCCAGAAATTTTTGCCCGTTTTGACAGGTACCCGTCGAATGCAGGTGGCCGCCTAAGCAGTTTTCACTGTATACATATTAAATAACTAAATAATATTATAATAATTTAAAATAATGCGAAGCAAATTAATAATAAGTGCAGGCATATCCTGCTTTATGTCATTTGCTTTGCAGAGTTTTATCAATTACATTCATTTTATTATTTTGTGCTTTCACTATCTTTTTTCAGCCTTTCTACAATAAATATGCAATTTTTAAGTTTGCATTTGTCAGTCACTATAACCAAAGAATGAATATATTAATATTTTTTTATATTTCATATCTTATTAACAAAAGATGTACAAACGTTAAAACTATGCTATTGTAAATAATATTTGAGAGGTATAGCCACCTTTGGATGTATACTGGCTTTTGACTACATTGCAGAGCAGTCAATGAACTTTCTCCATAATCTTTTTCACTGCACATTATCATCTTCATTGCAAGTAATCATATATTCAAAAAGGGATCCACTTGGTTTTGTTTCAGCAGAAAATCATAGGCAGATATTTCATCTGTCAGATTTCTCTTGCTCATCTCTTGATATGATCACCAAATATCATAGCATAAGTAAATGGCCAACAACTTAACCCTGAGCAATAGATAACACTTCAGCAATTTCTGTGGTGGCATAATGTGGTTTCTCTTAAATTAATGTAGTGCTTGCATCAATAACAATTGAACAAACTTTCTGATCAATCCAATACATATCAATATATATTAATATAAAAAAAAAGTAGAGATCTTTATATGCTTTACATTAGATATATCTATTACTTTAAGTTTAAGAATAATTTGTTCTTTTTTATTTTAATATTTTCCTTTTAATCTATATATATAAAAATGAAAGTATGTGTGTGTGTCTGTCCTTTATGCATTACCACACCGTTTATCCGATTGTTGTGAAACTTTGGGAAGTTGTTTAATATACTCCTGCGAAGGTTTGTGGCCATAGTACGATTGCCACAAAGCTTTGGGAAGTTTTTTAATACACTCCCGCGAAGTTTTCTGGCATTTACCCTATGATAAATGGCGCACGTTTACACAAGCATTCACACACAGTGTGTTTGATCGATTTCAAATTGTGAAGACCATTTCCTCTCCTTCAAAAAATATCTCTATATATGCATTTGTGAACTGTTATTTACGATATTTGTAATAATTTTTGTTTAATCACTTTATTTCAATTTTTTTTTTTTTGCTAATTACGTATTCGCTCGAACTTTGTTAAAATCTTAACTGTATCCCGAACAACAACCGAAGTTGTAGGAGGAAATTCACCTATTTTACCGATCTATTTTACAAATTTTAATATCAACTCAAAATAATTTAAAAAGACAAATTACAATAAAACAGTTTATTATCCAACTATCAGAAATTTCACAATATGCCAAGGAAGAGAGGAAGGAGCAATTAAATAATATGGACCTAAAAATAATTATTTTTAGGTCCATATTATTTAATTATTAAAAATAATTATTTTTAGGTCCATTTTCAGAGTCTATAAACAAAACTTAAACATAAAACAGAAAATTCAAACTTGTTTATGCATAACATTACAGAACACTTTTGGGCATTCTCTGAGTGTCTAAAAATAAAATCCTATCATTTCTATCTCCTGACAATGGACTTAACTGTAAAAGTATTAGAGAAGTTTTGTGTTTCTGTTAATTAACATTCAAAAAAACTGATAGTTAATGATATATAAATACCTTGGCTTTTTGTAAGTTTTCATTCACAAATTTCAGCAAATTGGAATAATCACCACGAGTTAACAAAAATTTGCATCCATTTATGGTATGTTGCCCAAGAATTCCAGAATCTTCATTATCCTCTGAAAATAATTTATTAATCATTACAAAATCCTGTAACATAAAATGCATTCTGAATTTTCCACTTACATGTGACAGTTACAAAACAGATAACATAATGATAGGGAAAATAACTTAGCAATATGTTACTGGTTATCAGAAATTGGAGATAATTGTAAAAAATGTAAATATTAAAAAAAATCTTTAAGATTTTTTCATTTAATTAACAATATTAATAAATTTTATAATTCATCTTAAATATTATTATTATTATAAATGGATTTTGTTCTACTCAGTTGGTACCAGTGTCTAGTAATGTCAGATTAAGGCATAACTACTAATATTTTTCTTTGTATGCTGTCATGTAGGTATATGTATTTAAGAATTTTCTGACTATATGACATTTGTTTGATATAACTACTTTCTATATATGATAAGACCTAATGTTTTCAGACTTTTGTTTGAGTATGTAGTATGATGCATGTGTAAGAGAGAACTATGAGAAAATTATAAAATAAATCATGAGATATATTATAATAAGTGATGATATATTGCTGAAATATTCTGAGAAACTACAATAAAACCATTCAATTTATTAAGCCATGGCTTGAACTCTGGGTGCGTTAAATTTCCTATTGTAGTAGCTATGCTCTGCCAATCATTATCATTTATTGACTCCTCAATTTCTGCAAATTTTACCCTTACCATAAGTATCTTATCAATTCTCCATGGGTGTTTTATTTCATTTATTTCTGAATATTTTTTTCAGTGTACATACTAGGATGGCATATGTACTGATTGCTTTCAATGTGTATGTTGCATTTCCTCTGTTAATCTCTGTTTTATTTGTAAATTTTCTGTAAGCTTAACTGTTGGAGTTCCAAATACTGATTTTCACTGAATAATTCAATGATGTCTTCATTTCCAGTGCGAAATTGTCGTTATTAAGTATTCCTTTTTCCTATAGCAAGTGCTTTTCATTTGTCTAGGCCAAAAATTACATTTATATCTTAATGGAACAAGTGTGTGTAATTTCATAAGGGATTTAGTTGTGTGTGTAAAAATATGTAGTTTTATGTTATCCACATACATTAGCTGGAATATTATTTGTATTTTTTTGCTGTATTTGATGATGTATCTATATTTTGTATCATTTAACTCAGCATTTCTCAAACTTTTTGCTTACATATACATTTGTATGTTTGTTTGTAACAATTTCCACCATCCAAATGTTTATAATATAAAATTTTTAAAAATCTGATAAACTGGAATCATTGTATATTATATAACAAAATAAAATTATGCATTATTGATAATAACGTGTATGTGTAAAATGTAATATTGAGTACATTTCTATTAAGAGTGGTTCAGCCAATTTTGATTTGTAACAAATAACTTGTTAAATTTCAATAATAAAAACTGAAATTGAAGTAACTAAAAAAATAAGACTTAGGACTGTAAATAAAACAGACTGTTTCAAAATTATTCAGGAATCTATTTACTTTGAAAAATATTACAATTTTTTTTTATAAATGTATTAAACCCTTTTTTAAAATGTACTTTTCAGGTTGCAAGATGTTGTCAATTTAATTTTGTATATGCAGTTTAAAAAATCTTTTAAATATTATTTATTGATCCACTTGTGCCAAAATTCATCCATTATTTTTTTTTTTATAATTTATTGTTGTATATGACAATAAACCTAAAAATTTAAATAAACAAGGAAATATTTTCAAAACCATTGCAACTTAAATGGCTTTATGACTACAACCTTACATATAACCTCATATACACACATTCTATTACCTTCATTTTATTACTAAATGACAATAATAATTATAAGTCTACAAACTAGCAGCCAAGTCTTTGACTTGTCTGCTAGTTTCTAACAATATTCTATGTATATATGTAGTGTGTTGTTCATGTTAATATTCTTAAATATTCATTAATTTTGATGTTATGTTGGTTTTAGTCTATTTTGTCAGCCTGCCAAATTGTTGACTAATGTCATATATTTGTTTGTTTTCTTCTTTGCTAGGCAGTATTATTATTTGTTTTTTCTGTTGTGTTTGTGTGTAACTATATTTTAAGGCCATGATATGTTACTACAATGAATGCAACAGTGTGAACTAATGTATGTACTACAGTACATCAGAGTAAGTTAGATTTGATTGAATGTATTTGGTAATATGTGTGTATTTAAATAGTGAAGAGCAGAAGTGGCCCATTGCCATTTGTTGAGTGGTTAATTAGATGTGCAGCAAATTTAAGTTGTGTTTTGTAACAAGTGAAAAAAAATCAAATTAGACAAATGAAGTAAATAAGTAATCTTTCTAAACAAAGAAACAATTTTCTTATCTAAATACAGTAGAGTCCCGAAAACTCGGCACTCAATAACCCGGCAGTCTGGATAACTCGGCCACACCCTGGCAGGGCAAAAAACCCCTAGTTAATTTTCATTATAGACAGCTTTATGCCTGATAAAGAATTTTTTTTGAGGTCTGTCTTATCAGGTAAATTACTATACACTGTGTATTCATTAATTTTCATTTTCATATAGTAAAGGCCTTCATAAAGTATGTACTTTTCCTTTGTTTAAGGATATTTGGGCAGTTTATTCTCTGTTGTATCTTCAAGCAAACAATACATACAAGTACAGTACAGTATTTTCTGAGGAAACACTCATACTTATTCTTTTTTAACTCCATTCCCGATAACCCAGCATTTTCAAACTCAGACCCTTCGGTCCACATTAGGCCGAGATTTCAGGACTCTACTGTATATACAGAACTTCCTATCAGTTCATCTTGTATTCTGATATGACATAAAGCCTATTTCTCACTATTGCCAATACACAACAGACATTTGAGAACCAAGGATTTCTCCCACACCGGGTCATGTAAAACAAATATGCTTACTTCTTAACCAATATCCGGCGTGAAAACTCCAAACAAAGACTGGCAAACGCTTTCGATGCCCCTCCTGGGCGCTTCTTCAGGCCAAATTTACTGTACTGGATTCTTAAATCGAATGTTTTTAAATAAGAACATGCTCAGTTACTAGAAGTTCAAATAAGGAAGGTAATCACGTGCCTTTCCAAATTATAATTTCTTTATAAATTATATTCGTGGAGATATGTTGTGCGCATTCCATAATAATCTCGTGTATCTTATAATCACGTGCCGTTTCTAAAAATAATTTTAACTAGTAGCGATACGATGTGCGTATCCCCGCGAATATAATTTATAAAGAAATTATAATTTGGAAAGGCACGTGATTACCTTCCTTATTTGAACTTCTAGTAACTGAGCACGTTCTTATTTAAAAACATTCTATTTAAGAATCCAGTACAGTAAATTTGGCCTGAAGAAGAGCCCAGGAGGGGCATCGAAAGCATTTGCCAATCTTTGTTTGGAGTTTTCACGCCGAATATTGGTTAAGAAGTAAGCATATTTGACATTTGTGAAAAAATAGATGTCCAAAAACAATGTTTTTTTAATAAGTCAAAAATTAATTTTGTAGTTTTGTACTTTGTATGTTTACACTGATGACAGACTATCTTTATACATTATTATTAAATATTATAACGTAAAACACTTGTTTTTATAACATGTATATACTAGTTTACAATTACCTGTAGATGCAACAGAAGCCAATCGAATTTCATACACACTATTGCCATTGCTATCAACAGTTTTAAATACTCTAGTATTGTAAGCTTCAATATTCTGAAATAAAATTAATAAACTGTTATATTATCTAATTATTCCAACATTTATTGTGTAAATTTAGTATTAACATATTTATACTTTTATAGTTTAACTTATCAGATTATTATAGAAAAAACTTTTGCTTAATGGTTAATACATTTTCATCTTACCTTTTGCTTTAAAAATTTAGCAACAATTTCTGCGTCATCTTGAGTGCAGTTTCCTGAAAAGTATGTTGTGATTCCCTGAAAAAGATAATATAGAAAAATTTTTAAGCCTGTGAACATATGCAGTTATTTTTTCACATGACTACATGTATAAGATGACAATTTTTTACTGATTTTTCACATATAATTATATTGCACTTAATTTCAGTTCCTCAAATTTGATGATCCTGAATAATCCTGCAATATGTCTTATCTGCAAGTGTCAAATTTTAATGTCATTTGTTTTGTCTACAAAACAATGTCATTGACAGAGCTCTCATAGAGCTTTTTAAACTTTGCAATAGTATGGGCTAATGTGAAACAAGTTCAAATAAAAATAAATGATGGATGACTGAGATGATTCTCAGAAGGACCAGATATAATTTTTTTTTTTTTGTTATTTTTTAAGCATGAAATAAGGCCATGAAAACATTTAAATAATTGAAGGTCAAAGCATTCCAGGTTATCTTACTGAGACAAGCATTCATGGTCATAGTGACTTGCAGACAGTCACATCATTACATCATGCATAGCTGACAATCATCCAAGATATCATGACTATCTCTTGTGGCAATCTTCTAAGCCCTCCATGTCATTCTGATGATATTAGGTCATCAAAAATGACGTCAGAATTGAAAATTATTTCAATGTGTATACAATTGTATGACAATAAAGAAAAATTGTACACAATTGCATTCATAAGGCAGTAATTTTCTGCACTAGTTTTTTTTGAGGATCTGTGATAAATGAAAAAATTTTTTCAACCAAAATTTTTACACAAATGGTTAGCATAGAAGCAAAGCTAAGTAAGTCAATTTGGTAAAATATACCTACAAAAGCTTGTAGGTGCAGAAAATTGCCAACATTACACAAGATTGTGAATTAATCTCAAATGAATGTTAAATATACTGAAAAACTATCCTGTTTTTAAATACAGGATAATTTTTCAGTTTTAATACAGTGGCAAATTTTCATTTTATAAGAAATTTGATCAATTTTAAACAATTAACCAGTCATTTTTTCCTTTTTTTTTTTACTTAGAGTTTTATTTAAGGAACTCTAACTTTGTAAGTAGATATTTCAATACACATTTTAAACAATCAGCTCCATTTGTGTTTTTCAATATACTCACATTATTATTATTTCTCTTTTAAGCAATAACATAATTGCTTTAGTTAAAATAATTTAACTACAGTCAATCCTCCATATCTGTAGATTCAAGTAATCATGAATTGAAAATATTTTAAAATTTTAGAAAATTCCTAAAAGCAAAACTTGAATATGCTTATATNTGCAGGTGGCCGCCTAAGCAGTTTTCACTGTATACATATTAAATAACTAAATAATATTATAATAATTTAAAATAATGCGAAGCAAATTAATAATAAGTGCAGGCATATCCTGCTTTATGTCATTTGCTTTGCAGAGTTTTATCAATTACATTCATTTTATTATTTTGTGCTTTCACTATCTTTTTTCAGCCTTTCTACAATAAATATGCAATTTTTAAGTTTGCATTTGTCAGTCACTATAACCAAAGAATGAATATATTAATATTTTTTTATATTTCATATCTTATTAACAAAAGATGTACAAACGTTAAAACTATGCTATTGTAAATAATATTTGAGAGGTATAGCCACCTTTGGATGTATACTGGCTTTTGACTACATTGCAGAGCAGTCAATGAACTTTCTCCATAATCTTTTTCACTGCACATTATCATCTTCATTGCAAGTAATCATATATTCAAAAAGGGATCCACTTGGTTTTGTTTCAGCAGAAAATCATAGGCAGATATTTCATCTGTCAGATTTCTCTTGCTCATCTCTTGATATGATCACCAAATATCATAGCATAAGTAAATGGCCAACAACTTAACCCTGAGCAATAGATAACACTTCAGCAATTTCTGTGGTGGCATAATGTGGTTTCTCTTAAATTAATGTAGTGCTTGCATCAATAACAATTGAACAAACTTTCTGATCAATCCAATACATATCAATATATATTAATATAAAAAAAAAGTAGAGATCTTTATATGCTTTACATTAGATATATCTATTACTTTAAGTTTAAGAATAATTTGTTCTTTTTTATTTTAATATTTTCCTTTTAATCTATATATATAAAAATGAAAGTATGTGTGTGTGTCTGTCCTTTATGCATTACCACACCGTTTATCCGATTGTTGTGAAACTTTGGGAAGTTGTTTAATATACTCCTGCGAAGGTTTGTGGCCATAGTACGATTGCCACAAAGCTTTGGGAAGTTTTTTAATACACTCCCGCGAAGTTTTCTGGCATTTACCCTATGATAAATGGCGCACGTTTACACAAGCATTCACACACAGTGTGTTTGATCGATTTCAAATTGTGAAGACCATTTCCTCTCCTTCAAAAAATATCTCTATATATGCATTTGTGAACTGTTATTTACGATATTTGTAATAATTTTTGTTTAATCACTTTATTTCAATTTTTTTTTT